TGTATACTTTAATTTTCAGGTTCTTAGAAATCAGACGGGAAGACAAAATATTTTGAACTGAGAAGTAGCAAGCATTTCCGGAATTTAGTCTCCTCCTAACTTCCTCGTGAGCATCATTTTGATTTGTTATTGTTGTTATAAAATACATAAACCAAAAAATAATAATTATTTTATCAACGACGTTACATAACGGTTTATACTTCTTACAAATATGAAGTTTCTTATTTTTATATATTATAAAGGTGATAATAATGATGACTATTATGCTTCGTATTTGATGATAACAGGCAAAAATAGAAGTACATAACGTTTTATAGAATTACAGGAAGATGACGTAACACAAACCTTTACGAAGCACGCCAAACTCTATGCGGATAAACTAGATATAAATAAACATTGTATTTCACACAAGACTTCCTTTCCGGCGGCAGAGAGGCAAGGAACAGTAAACATGTCCAAGTTATCCTAATCCCAAGAGGAAACTTTCTTCCGTGTCCCTCATTACTGACCCTTTAAGAAAGTTGAGAACAAGTTGGTTCCGAAATACATTAGCACAGACGTCTTCACGTTCCTCGGGAGGGAAGTTAAAAGCCAACAGATCGCGTGTAATTCCCCTGGAAGTCCCTGTTTAATGCTCAAGATCTCCGCGAGGATAATCCCCTGGTCACCGCCTCTTAGCTTCTGCTTGCCCACTGTAGTATTTCGTCGACAGCTTATAGCAGGGGTGTGTAAACACACTGTTAGAATCAGGTTTGTAAGTCGAAGTTCGTAAGGTGAAATGATATAAAATTAAAAAAAAAAATTTGGCTCGCGAATACTTACAGACATCGTGAAATATTATTCATATGATAGACATTTCTAAATTCAGTGAAGCCCGCAAGTGGTGTGACTCAACGGGTTGTCTAAATTTTATATTAGAAATATTTACAAAAATTAAATAAGCTCACTAGTCAGATGCCTTTGTGTATTAACTTTCTTTACATATTTTCTTAGTAGTTTTACAACTATTTTGCGTATTTATTAATTTTGTTCTTGTGTTTCGTCTGTATTTAGTAATCTGCTGCTGATGTAGCACACTAATAATAAAAGTTTAAATAAATTTAATTAAATTATTGCTGCTATTTATGACGCCACGGTGGTCTAGCGGTTAGAAGGCTGGCCTTGTAATCCTGGGGTCTCGGGTTCGATTCCCGGCGGTGCCCGAATTTATAACTTGTGTTGGGCAAGGCCGTGGTCTAGGCAACACGGAGTTTTCCTCCGGGGCATCCCAACAATTACTCCATTCACACACAGAAGAAGGCAATGGCAAACCACTTCTGGACCATCTGCCAAGAACGTATATGAACAGGTCCCAGTCCGAGAAAAGGATGGAAGGATCCTGTTCATATGGACCTGTCGTCAGACAGAACACTAAATAAATAATAATAATAATAATTTAAAGCATAACAAATTAGGTAATGTAAGCATAGCGTACAATTTTTGGCTTCCTCGCCTGTATTTGGCCTCAGACCTTTCTGAATAATAGGAGGATTCCCCATCTGTGATTCCCCGAAGTCACTTAACCACATCGAAGCGCAAAGACGCAAATATGTATTCATATAAAGTGTTCTTTATTGTTTTCGCATCGTAACCGAAATTGGATTGTGTCGACAAATTTTAGTAAAACATCCCAATATAAAGTTTAATAATAATCCGTTCAGGTGTTCTCAAGTTGTTACATACGGACGGACGGACAGATAGACGAAGCTATTTTAAAAGGTTTAAATACACGCGTAATAAGAATAACATTAACTTTAGTTGCACTAGAAAATAGTAAAACTTTGAACAAAAGTCAGCTACGTAAGGTGAACATTAATTAAACTGTACACACACAGACAGAGACTATTTTTAATGATGCAGCAAGGCTATGATATACGTTTCTCGCTTTATAAAGTGTTGGACAACATACAGATACACTACCCACAAAACATCTCACAGAAATTCTACAAATTGCAGTATCCGTCGTCAGCTGTTACCTCGGGGCGTTGATAATGTATGTGGTCTTTACAGTACTCGGAACGCACAACTTCAGAAAGTTTATAACCAAGACTGAGGAAGGTCACAGGCGATCTGGACCTACTTGATGAAACACGCTCACAGCTCTAATATCTTCGTACACCACAGCTTCCTTGTTCATCTAAACTTATTACTTCGCTTTATTACCTAGGCTCCAGGCTTACACCTAATATTAAACGCTACGTAGAACCTCACTTGCCCATGCAAGATGCATGTACAAATATGGCCGAAAGTCACGATCAGATGGTGTACAAGGCTTTAAACAAGATCAGGGGTTCAGTACGGAATCATTTTAAGTACATGACGGTGATATGAATGCGCATTTTATAGAATTAACGGTTGCTATACCGCATAGCACTCACATTTCCTACTGGCCTAGCGGTTAGAACGCTGGCCTTGTAATCCTGGGGTCTCGGATTCGATTCCCGGCGGTGCCCGAATTTATAACTTGTGTTGGGCAAGGCCGTGGTCTAGGCAACACGGAGTTTTCCTCCG